AAGAATTTGATGCTGGAAACTTGCGGCATGTAAAAATTTTAATGGAAGCATCAAAAAAAGCCCGCAATATGATGGCAGATATAAGGCAAAGGGGGAAAAAACGTGTCCGTGAACGCACATGGAAAGATTCAACATCACACACAATGTTTTCGAAAGATTAAATTACCTTATAAAAAATGTTTTCGTTTTATACCGTAGTCAAGAATGATAGTTGAAAGTCAATAAATCTCTATATTTAGCTCTTATTATTGAATGTGATCGTTTTTGAGAAGTAAAAAAATCAATCAATGTGATGATCGTCAGTTATTTGTTGCGTTGACATTTCAGGAAACGTGCATTTCAATTTTATTACTTTTTATGGAAAATTAACTGTTAGCTAATCACGTTCCAAGATTTGCGGAAAAAATGGGGAGGTCGCTACCACTTAGGAGGTTGTACTCAGGGGGTTTTTCTGTTGGTTTTGGGACACAAAGTAAGTAATTGTTACTGAGTAACGTATCACAACATGCAATCATTAAGATATAATCGCTCGAAGCTATGTTACCAAGTGACAACTAGTGACTATGCCGTATGAGGTATGGGCGCAAAATACAATGCGAAAATACTCCATTTGCTTATTATTATTATTATTACGCTGATTATTGCATGTTACTTTGTAGGAAACTGAAAACTCAACCCCCTTTACCTTTGCGGGGACCAGTACTGACTCAGCAACCGGCTATTACTATGCGTCAGACACCTCTCCCTCTATGACATCTTCGAGCGACACTGTAAATCAAGGCTGTTTTCCTAGAATTATATTTCAGTTAATGGAACAAGGCCTTATGTCAGCAGATGCGCAAATAAAAGGATTGTTAACAGACATACAATACTCGGAGAATATTTATGCTCTCAAATACATTCTCGAATATAAAGGAGAGTCTGTGTCAGTGGAAGTGTTAATTGCAATTGTGAAGAGGTTACGTTCTCAAGCATTTGATGAAGCCTTTTCAGGAGAAACAACAATTAAGTTGGAATGGCAATTACGAATTATTGTCATTATACTTGAGCAAATGTTTCAGAATGAGTGTCAATTTACATGTCAGTTCCTTGATAGAATTAGACAAGTTACTTCTATGTACAAGAATGCTTATTCAAAAATTGTGCAGCATGAAGGAGACGTGTGGAAATCCAATTGTGCAGAATTTAATAAATCAGGCAAAAGCATTGGAGACTTTAAATGCAATTACAATAGTAAATACCTTCTCGAACTTATTAAAAATACATTAAATTCTGTTTCTGGTGATAAGATTTCATCTAAGACAAAAATTGATCGAGCCATTGCTGCATTAAAAGGCTTACTTGTTGCTGTTCCTGGATTAGCTAAAGTCGGTATTAAATCTTATACAGGGGTTGAACTCCCTCTTGGTGATTTTGATATAGAGAGATCCTGGAAATATTTCATAGAAGCCTTTTATGTTGAACCATCAGGCAAGCCTTGGTATACAACCTGGAGAAGGCTTATTATTTTACAAAATTGTCTTGATAAGTGGTGTGAACAAGAATCTGCTATTTCAGCAAGTTTCAAAGAAAGAGTGCTTCTTGAGTATTTCTGGTATCATATCAGTTTATGTTATGCTGAAGATGCAGCAGAGAATCAGGATGTCAGCAATGAGCTCTGGTTTGGCATTTTGGACACTATTCAACAACTTATCCATAAACCATCTTCTACAACTACACAAGCTATTTGTTATTACATGGCATTAGACTCATTGAATAATGCAACCACAGAATTTATTCAATTCAAATCTATTGAAGTGTTATTAAGTCTTGAAGCCAAGAATAGTAAAGTGTTTGTTACAGCACCTGATGATATTGCTCATTGTGATGAGAAGTATATACCAAAAATGGTTGGCATGTATGATTACCTAAAAAGAAAATTAGAAGTTGAATCAAAAATGATTTCAAAATACTCACCAGATGAAATAATGATGAAGAATTCGAAACAAGAAAAAGGAAAGGGGAAAGGTGTTGAGAAAAGCCCAAGTGATTATATTGCAGAAGATCTTACATGTACTATTGTCTGTGAAGCAGTTGATGACTTTTACCAGCTTAATTGCCAACATATTATTAGTTCAAAGGCATTTTTATCATTAAACAACCTAGAGTGTCCTTACTGCAGAAGTGAAATAAGGAAGGATAAAGTGTATTATATGCCACAACAAACAATATACAACAATGTTCAACATTATACACATATTAATATTACAGGCGTTGATAGTCAAGACGCTTATAAGGCTAATTATAATGCTGGAGAAAACACAGATGAAAAAATATTTGATGAAGATAATCTTAAAAAACAAAAAAGAATAAGAAGGAAAAAGTATGGTTCTGGATTTACATTGAGTTCAATTTGGAAGTCATTAACAGCAAACAGGTTGCTTCAAAAAGCTAAAACTGCATATAAAAACAAGGAATTGGATGAGGCTTTGACCATTTATGCACAAATATTGCAAGCTGATTCCACAAATTATATGGCACTATGTAATAGAGCCATGGTAATGATAAAAATGAAACCTTTTAAAAAAGCCCTGTTGGATATTGAGACAGCAATTGAAGTAAATAAGGTTTATAATGATGCTTGGCATTTAAGTTTACTGACACATATAAGCTTAGGAAAGAAGAAAGATGCTGAGCAAGATATTGGGCATATTAAACATTTAGATATGCAAGAAAAGGCATTTGATGTTATTAATGAATATGTAAACAAACTTGGGTACTTTGATGTGGAATGGTTTAGGATTCTTGTGGATAGTTGCTCTTACAAAGCAATGTGTAATTTAAACGACATTGGTAAATGGAATTCACTGCGTAATCATTATTATGGAACAGATGATTATTCTGGATGGTACAAAACTGTTGCTAGTTGGTATAACACGTTTAACAATATGCGTATAAACGCGTTTTTTGAAAAAGTTTATTATATGCACAAACGTAAGTATAAGGGGGTTGACACATGATTGCATAAATTTGTATTATTATTATACATACTAATTTATTTATATTATTATTATGATTAGGTCATATGAAAGCACACTTTGCATATGAAAGTCATATTAAAGATCTCAATACATGCAGATAGTAAGTAATTATAGTGACTATTTTTAATAACTATATTACTACTAACATCTACCACTTAATAGTCTCTATGATAAAGGATGTTTGTACCTTTCTGGACCTAATGAAGTAAGTATTTAATCATCATTCCATCTAACGTTTGTATACGTTGTAATATTAACTAATAAATTCATATATATAGGTAACAATCCCAATATTCAAAGTACCTCCAAATAAATACAAACTCGGCATTTTGTTGTGGAATTATCAGAAGTCAATGACAATTACAATTGTAGTAAGTATTCAAGATAAAGCGTTGTTGATTACAGTCATAATTGTATATATAAATACAAACATTTTATCGCAGATAAAAACATCAACTGAAGAAATAGAATATAAGACGGACGTCGAACGTCACTCCTACGCTGAATACATTTTACCATGCGTGGTTAATGTTTTGTATGAAGAAGACATTATTATAGAATTTGATATCAATTGCGTAAGTATGGTTATTTATTATTTACGTAGTGTAAAATGTATTCAATTATTCTAACTTTTAACTGTATTTAGTTAGGAGTCGATCTTCATTGGGTTTGTTTATATTCTGAAGAAAAGTTGGATACTATGGAACGTAACTTGAAAATTGAAACATTTCCAACTGGTGTAAAAATGATTAATTATAGGCAATTTGATTGTCCTGATAGAACATACGCCATATATTATTAACACACAAACATTGTTTATAAACGAGCGTGCTTTAAATTATACTGTCTTTTGTTGTAACTAATTATCCCGCGTCTCATGTGACATTATTATTTAGATTATGAAATTGTTCCCACACCACGCATACGATAGATCACAACAAATCTGCAGCAAATTGACATTTAATTTTACGTGACCGCAAAGTTCGCTAAGAATTGAATATTAAGTTCGGCCATACACCGGTGACGGTCGTCATATCATTTCTACGTATTAGTACAGTGCTGAACAACGCGTCGAAAGGCAACCCAAATGGTTGGCGTGGCTGAAAAAAATCAACTATAACTGATTAAAACTTTTGCACAAATCCGAACTATTCTTTAGTGACGTTCATTGCTTGAAAAATACGAACTTTTTTCGCCTCAGACTGCTTATCATGACTGTTACTGTTTTTGCCTTTACAGGGAACTGAGCTTTGAATGAGGACGAATGCATAATACGCACAGCCAGACCATCCTGCATTCAGAAGGTACATGGATAGGTCTTTTCCTCGATGTGTTATTTTAAATTGATTACCTATACGTCCAATGAAAATGGATTAGGTTTTGCTTTATACTATAATTTGTACCAAAGGAAAGAGTTACTAAAATCGCACAGTGACAAGTCAGTTTTATTGGCTGTGCCCAATGTACCCTGGTTTTTAACCCCTGCTGTGTCAGCTTTCTAAATAAAAAATTATTGTAACACGAATATCTACACGTTTACCAACTTAAAAACTTTATTACATCTCGACGAAAATGCCAAGGAAGGCGGCTCCTATCTGCGGTAACCCATTGTATTTACAATGGATAAAGGAAATGATGGAAGAGGCCGGAGGAGTATCTAATAGTAAAATGTACTATGCTTATAAAAAGGTCAGTATCGTCAAACTCGCAATAATCGAGTCAAAAACTCACCCGCAAAAATATTCGCTTTACTACTAGGCCTATGATTCAATGTCAAAGTATCCAGTACCCTTCAATCATCCCTGCGAGGCTTCGATACTAAAGGGTGTCGGTCCCAAGATAACTAAACGCCTCGAAGAGCGGCTAAGACAGTATTGTGCTGATACCGGGCAAGCGGTTCCAATACGTTCTGGTATGTACCGAATTCATCGAGTACCTTATATGATCTATTCACTAATGCCGATAAACCATTCTTGTTATACGATCCCATAATCAGACATTTTGAAACGTGCTGCTCGTCCCCCACCTCCGCCTCCACCGAGCTCGCCACCACCACCTCTTCCTGCCACACCAACGAAACGAACATATGTTCCTCAATATCGATCGGGAGCGTACGCTATACTCCTTACGCTTTTCATGGCATACGGTAATGGGCCTTATCGCGCAAGTCTAACAAAACCAGAAATAATTAGAGATGCGACTCAATTTTGTGACACGTCTTTTGATGTGCCGGTTGCCAAAACACGTAATTACACTGCTTGGAATGGAATGAAGACTTTGCTTGAGAAAGACTACGTCTACAAAAATGGGAGCCCCCCACGATACAAGCTGACAGAAGCTGGACTGGTTATCGCGTCTCGACTTGTGGAGACTGCCAAGAAACAAGGGAAAGAGTTGGGTCCTCTTGCAGAAAAAGAACTTGTAGTCACAACCGTTCGCGTTTCTCTAGGGGCGAATGCAGAGGCAGATGACACCAGTCGAGAGGTGTCAGTAGTCAGTAGCTTCGATCGAGGTGCGGGTAGCCTGGCTGCGTCTCTGGCTAAAACTGTGTTTCCGACTAGAGCCGTGTCGCCGCCCGGGTCACTCTGGGAGTCTTCGGCAAACTATGCCGATTGTGGATCTCTTAATCACTCGGTCGTTCCTGCACCATTGCTTAGTTACAAAGCAAGCTTAAGCGCGAAATTAACGGCAGTTACATCACCCCCCACTGTTGATCCTATGGTCGAGCAACCAGGGACATTGAAATCAACGGCAGACCTATCCGCCCATACTGTTGAGCCTATGATCTGGCAATCGGCACCATTGAAACAAAAGGCAACCCTATCGCTCCCCACTGTTGATCCTATAATCTGGCAACCAGGGACATTTGAAGTGCATATCGTACTAGATACACGTGAAATACGACAGCGACAAGATCGTACTTACATACAAGAAAAGTTGGAAGAGCGTGGCATGACTGTAAGTGTGCGTAGTTTGGAACTTGGTGATGTTGTTTGGGTTGCAAGACAGAAAGACAGTAATTCTGGTGATATCGTGCTGGATTACATTCTTGAACGTAAAAGGATGGATGATTTGGTGAGCAGTATCAAGGATGGGAGATTCAAAGAGCAAAAAGTAAGTGTCGGGAGATATTCATCTGGTAGTTCGAGTCGAGTTGGGGCAAATACTAAACACTAGTACTAGTTTCGATTGCATAGAGGCGGTGTCGGTCAAGTAATTTATTTAGTTGAAGAGTTTGGCAGAGAAGATGCTATCGAATTTGGGATGCAGGCTGTTCAGACGGCAATATCATCAACTCAAGTAGTCGATGGCTTTTTTCTGAAACTTACTACTAATGTCGACCAAACTATTGAATACTTGGTCTCTCTAACAAAAATGCTCAAAAAACTATATGAGGTATAATGTTTATCAACACCATAATTATCTATCGGACTCTGAATGTCAAATACTTTTCTCATGTGCTTTTTTCTTTTTTCATAATAGTCTGCTCCTTTGTACATCATACCCGATTCCTGTTTACAATATCAAACCTACCTTCCTCTCAAAACCCATCTCAAAGAACTTTACCCGACTCGCACTTATCATATAAGTTTTCTTGCTTACAACGAACTTAACTCCAAGTCTCGTAATCTCACTCTTCGCGACGTATTTGCAAAAATGTTGATGTGTACCAAGGGTTTCTCTGGAGATAAGGCGGCAGAGATTATTAAGCGATATTCAACGCCGCACTCGTTCTACACTGCTCTAGAAAAATGTCAGAATAACGAGGCAAGATGGAAAATGATCAGCGAAGAATGCGGAAATACATTCGGGGTTAAAAAAATAGGACCGGTCCTGAGTGAAAGGATCGCCAAGCTATGGTTTGAAAAGAAATATGCAGATGGAGAATGAGGTAAGGAGGTTACATAAAGTTTGTCAAATGTGAACTTTTGTTCAATTGTTTTGTAATTGCCATTAACCATTTTGGACAACAGATAAATTAGAGAATAAACCAACTATACACCATAACAACCGTTAACTGTAATTATGTAAGGGTTCTAGCATGTGATTTCAGGAGCAACAAGATGAATTGTGGGACAGTGTGAACAATGAGTCTCGTTGTATGAAAAATGTTTGGCTTCTAAAAAACAGAGTAAGAAAGAAGCCTTGAAAGGTTATGATAGGTTGTAAAAATTTTATCTGTATAAGCCGTTTCTAAACCTAACGCCAATTATAAATACACAAGTTGAACATTATCTCTATACAGAAATGGCACGTTTTACGATGACGGAGTAGCGAGTTCGTCTTTACGATACTCCCAGTACGCCTTTCTTATCGTATCATGTGTGTTTGCCAGGCTTTCACAGATCTGAAAAAAAACCGCGATAATTAGACAAACGGTATATTGTTGATATCAAAATTTCTTCCTCACTTTATAAAGTACCTTGATAGCGTCCTCTTTTGCTTGTTCGTCACCATTTTTGGCGCGATTCCCGTAAATATCAACAAGCCAGCCCATAGCATGAGGCGAGTTGATATCATTATCAGTGAATTCTTTACAAAAAGATTCGAGTTCCTGAATGTCGCGAGATGATTTCTCTAGGATACTGATGATGAGAGGGAAACGGTTAGATATATATAGTCTTTGCATGTTATTCAGACATTTAGAAATCAAGTGTCTACCCTCTCAAATAGTTCCACGGGCTAATATTATTTGGCGTTTGTCTTATCTTCTCCATAGTATAACTGATGACAGAAAATAAGAACTAGATAAGCATATATTCTTGGCTTGAAATTTATTGTCAAAAGCAATAAATAAATCTTGCGCAACAAATGTTGAAACCTGTGTAAAAAGCAAAGCAGGTTCATCAATCCGAGAAACGCATATTCTTACTTGATTTCAGACTCAATAAGATTTTCTTCAGCGACATCCGGATCGTGAAATACAACAAAATATCGATAATTCCATGCCGAATTGTTGCGAACGTCATCATTCAGCAATTTGTCGATGAAGGGTAGTTCATCATCCCAAAGGTTGAAATGAGTATTAATCCATTGCCTATAATAAACACCAGAGAGGTTAGACATTGATGAAAACGAAAATGGAGGAATTCTACGCTGAAAAGTATCAAGTCACATTTAGCAACCGCGAGTATTTGGCTCAAACGACCTGTAGGACCAGGCATGATAATTCTTCGCATCGTCGTCTAACACTTCGTTTACAAATGCTACTTCGTTTGAACAGTCTGAAAGCTTTTCGACAATCACCTGACGATGGTACCTAATATATATATGCATGGGATACAGGTAAGAAACTATTAAATGAGAATGACAGACAAATCACATTCTTTGATCCCATCTACCATAGCTGATAATTCTTGGGGTTATCCCTCGCTAGCCTTTTGATAAAGTCAAGTTCTGCTGTCAAATTCTCGTTCAATGCAAAAAGAATCTGCTGTCGGTAATTCCTGGGAAAGAAAAGAAGGATTTAACAGAAATGCTTAGACTCAACGTTAATTGCTAATTGGAAATCAAAAGTTACTAATCGATAACTAGAATTTCAGTTTTTGTAAAAGTTGAAATACTTATTCAATCAGACAACCCTTTTGTTCAAAACTAGTAAGTTTTCAAACGAAAAAAAACGTCCTGATCTAATGGTTTTATACCAACCATACTGTGTAATGCGCGGGGTTATGCTTTATAATTTCGCTCGTTAAATCCAGTGCACGTTTGCTCATTTCGTTATTTCGAACCAGCGCGCGAAAGTATGACATTGCCGTCGAGTCTATACGTGTGTACAGTAGTCAGTAAGAACATCACTTTCTCTTTTCAACGGCCAAGCCGGTTTCTTACATTCTGTCGAGTAGGCTATAGGAGCGATCGGAGAGGGACCGTCGTCCTGGTCGATTGGAGTGACGTCTCCATAGTTACTCTGCAAGTCGTAAGGACTCAGTGACATTTCGCTATGAAAGGTATTTATAAGAGTTGTACCCTCAGAGCAAGCATTCAAACAAACCGCGTAGAGAACGTGATATCATTATGTGAAACTTGTGACTGCTACGAGATATCACTTTTTAAAGTCTCGTGATCTATACATACTAATACTAAATAATTTTTTTGATTTCTAAGAAAAAAGCGCATGTATTATGGAAGGCTGTTTATTTTACATATTATTTATAAGCTATACAAGAAGAATTAGGTTCATGATTTAGGTCAAATATCGAAAGGGTATAAAAAAAAAGTGATGGAATTTGAATGTATGATATTCTACACTTAATGACAATTCCAAAAGAAAGAAAGCAAAACAAAAAATTCCCTAAATGCTCTGGCTGTGTATGCGTGCCATTAACATAATAATAATGTAAGGCCAGCTTACTATTAGATTGTTAACCTCTCTACATACTCAAATAAAAAAAAAAAGCCAGAGAACAAACCAAAGAAAATAGTCTTATGTGGATTGTTAATCATGCTAAGAAAATAATTAACCCCTCAATCTGACATATGTATATATATTTTTATTCTCTAGATGAAGTTTCCATGAGTATCAGAAGGCTGTGTATTCCGTTCGTCGATGACTTCCCTGTCGATTCTAACGTACCAACTTGGCACCCATCCTCGCTCATCATTTATTTCACAGTATAACCAGTGATTACTCTTCTTATAGATTCTAAGTTTATCGCCTGCTTTCATAGATAATTCATTTTCTCCGTGGCCAACATAATCAACCACAGCAACCCCTCTGCCAACGTACGGACTATCTCTGTCCATCATATCACCTCCATTGATACTAGTCTCGAAGACGCAGCTGGCTGGTACCCATCCTGCTTGGCCGCCTTTCTCTACATAGCACCATCCTTCTGATTTGGCTCTGATAGTTACAACATCTCCAACAATCACGTTGACTTCGTCGGCATTCTCGGGTACGTAAGGGAATACTACCATGGCAGCGCCGTTACCCTCTACGCGCTCAATATCGTCTTGTTCATTATTGTCATATGTCTGCGCTGTCGAATTTTGTTGTTCGAGTTCATGTGGTGCGGGGGGAAGTTCTTTGTTTAATAAAGTTGTACGTCGTTTGGATTTGTTTGCTTTCACGGAATTGAAAGTCTGTTCAACTGTTGCCACTGGGCATTGTAATTCGTTAATGTTCTTCAGAGCAAAACATGGATTTCGGCCAGCTTCTTTCAATTTTTGGAATAATACGAGAGGTTTTTCATCATAACTTAAACATCGCTCTAAGTATTGTAATTATAAAATGAGTTTCTATTTAATGAAAAATTATTAGAAAAAACATAGATAATATGGAAATCACGATTACATACCTTGACGATCATAACAGATAAACAAAGCATAGTCGTGCCAGTCACCGTTGATCTTATATCGTTTGAGAACGTCAGGCAAGACTTTGTGACATGGATCGTCATGTGAGACGCGGAATGCCTCCAAAAGTTCTCCGGTGCGATTGTTGTGAACATTTAATCTTATTGACCCATCTTTTTGTATCTTTTGAGGCGATAAATAATTGGATTTCTAAAAAGAAAGGAAATAGATTTAATATCCGTCCTCACATGACTAATAATAGTTCCCGCTAATCACATACGTCGTTGTTTTCCTGTCTTTCTCTTTCTCTTTCTCTTTCTCTTTCTCTTTCACCTTCCCTCCGTCTTTTCTCTTTACGACTTGCATCTGTACTACTCTCATTGTTCGTTTGATGCCGATTGCTGCGACTACCGACACGGGGTGACCGCGGAGTATCGCTTGTATGTGTAGGTGACCTTGAGCCGTGGTGCGTGACGTTGACCGAAGGTAACTGTACTTGAAGGCCCTTATTCGCGGAAGAGGAGGATTTGTAATTTTGTTTAATTAGTTCAGGTTCCGGTAATGGCTGGTATTAAAGATGGGAATTATGAAGTAATTAGGGCGGATCCGTTAATACTTAAGCGGGTTTATATGACTTAGAAGAGCTCGCGAAATGGTATATGTCTGTGGAGATATAAATAAAGTTGTATGTCTTGAACAGTCGAATTAAAAAGGATCATGAAGTCTCCCAAGGATAATATACGGAATCAATTGGGCTCGGTTTCCAGTGTACATATTATTCAAAGTTTCTTATTCCCCAACTTACCTTGTTTTCTTTAACGATTTTCCATACTGGCACTAATTCTTCCCGTAATTTCGATAATTCGTGTGATAGGCGCATCACTTCTTTTGACAACTGTATAACTGTGTTCAATTCAAAAAAAAAAAGTTTAGATTTATCTCTAATCAGAAGGTGTTGTCGAACAAATTTTCCCTTTGAATTCCTTCCAGAATCTAATTTAATATATTTTTTTTTGCCCATTCGGGTTCGCAGAATGGGGTCAGATATTGGTTTTTTTGTTATACTCGTAATTACCTTTATCTTGAAGCTCTATTTTTCCAGTTCCGTTAGGAATGCTTAATTCCTAAACACCGTCCAGTAGGTGAAGAATTAGTCAATGTATTATCCGGGGAGACGTTCAAATTACATTCAGACACATTCAATACATACATTTTCAAACTCTGCAGCTATTTGACAAGGTATTCAGAGATGCAAGTTGTAGGGAGACGGTTAGACAGAGTCGAATATAAGGCAGACATAGGTGAGGGGGAAACGTCTAATTGAAAATTACTTGTTTGTTCAATCAATCACGCACTTACAAGGAGGGACATAATCCCAAGAGTCGAGGGGTATGTTATGTTCTATCTTGAGGTTGTATATTGCCTTCAAAAGAGAGACTCGGTGTCCTACCGAATGAATACCCAATTCCTTCAGAGCGGTATGGTCCAAGTGAGCCAGGATCTCTCCATTGATTCCCTCTCCTAATAATAGTCAGCTGTTATCCTTCCTTCAAATGCGAGGGCTTTATTCTCTTTCCGCAGTAGTCTCACTTACGTTTAATCTGCGATTCGTATGCAGAATAACCCATGGACGTCAACCAAGTTATGACCTGGTTAACGTCCCAGTCTGTTACGGATTCGGGTAGTCGGTCCATTTAGTTATATTATTTCCCTGCCAAAATGTTTAGAAAAGCTCATATAGTTTAGCTAGGGCCATACAAATAGAATGTTGAAGTCTCGTGCGACTGTTACGCCGCACGTCACGTGTAGATAATAGGACATTATTATTTGGCGTGTGTTGCAGAAAAATATAGCGCCTCAGGGTACTGTGCAAACGTCATAGTTGTGTTACATTCTCCATCTATTCACAAATCTCCCTTTGTCTCCAAATTAATATGAGATAAGGAAAGTGTCCCAATAACGTAAACAAACGCTGCTTGCGTTTATTGTTTGTGTCGCGGATATTCGTATGCAAAAAAGCGTTGTTACCGAAACGTACGAAAATGCTGCAAAGTTAAAATTTGCGGATCGTGTGCAACATTACCCGTACTAAGATGCGCGTGAATGTCAATTTTTTGCAACACGTTTATGACTGTGTCACAAGCACAAAGGATCTCCCACAGAAAAAGTAATCGTCACTAAATTAAAAAATCGAGGAAATGTCCATATTAATAATATTTATTCTTTAAAAAAAAATAAAATTCTCTGCAGCAGGCGACTTTCGAGGATTATCGCACTTGTTTTTTAATGGATCGTCCATTATATGCTTGTTGGCAGAATCTAACAACGGTAATGAAACGACAAATTTGAAAAAATTTGCCACAGAGGAAGCATTCTGACTATTTGTTTTGGATTTATTCATTACTGTCAACCAAAAGTGTGCTTTAAGCAATAAAGAATTCTGAAAATAAACATTTAAATTCTTTGTCCACTTTTTGGTCGCTCGGCGCGAATACCATTTATTACATATTCTCTCTAGTTATGCTTGATTATTTGATTATTTGACGATAAGAAAGCAGGGAAGGAAGCGCAAATAAGAATTTGGTATCATTGGCTAAAATCTGAAACCGGCTTTATGCTATATAATACCTAATCCCTGTAAAACAACATATGAGACGTCGGAACTAAATTGCGTTCGCTAAGCGTTTGACTTCTCTTTTTAGTTTTGTTATAAATCGAAAGCGGTACACAATTTGTACAACTGGTCAACTCGGATCAAATATATGTAATTGTCCCACCCAACCCGGTATAAACACATAGTAAATTCTATATTTGTAATGCATACATTATTTGTTGTCGTTGTTAGTTCAGTGTTGCGAATCGTTGTTAGCTGGTTAAGCACTCGACGCTGTATATGTAACTTTATTTCCAAATTCTAAGGGTAAATCAAACTGAATTTTTCAATCGTAGGTTATTAGTTGTTCTTCATCATGCAAAGCCATGACTGGGAATTGCCTATATAGTCATTCATAACAATATCTATTTAATGTCCACAAGACTAAAAGAGGCGCCGGCGTCATGATAAAGGCAAAAGGCTTTACTAAAATTCTTTCAATAATATAAATATAAACTCAGACTTTACATGCTTTTGTAATACGTTTAACTAACCATCGAGCATGCCAACACCTCAAGCACAAATAATAAAACGATATACTGAATGAGATGGAGGGAGGGGAATAATTATGAGCAGCAAATCTAACCCAATGTTTCTGTTAATGCAATTAGATACACTCGAGTTATACTCGGTATGTGACTTCAACATGCCTGATTCACCGACCTGTTTGCTTATTTGTGATTTGACACATGATACAAAAACGAATTATTGATAAATTGTGTGATTTACTGTTATGATAGAGAATAGTTCTTTATCTTCTTGTAAAAGAGCTCGATACTTTGTAGAGTGAATATAAAATGATATACCAATCGCATTAATCATTTTTGCCCTAACCGTTAAACCTAAAGATTTCTGAATAGTAAACTCCACCAATCAAGTGGTACGAATGTAGCCGCGCACTCAAAGTTTTACTTGTCCAGCCTCAACAACTGTTTCCGAGACCTTACCTTAACATTACGCTTCATCCACTACGAAGCAAATCCTTTTTGTACTGATTATATTTGTTATTTATTGTGTTGAATTCATACATTTGATATTTATACATGCGTATTAAACAGTTTATCATGTCATCTGTGATGATCACGGGATAGGAAACCCCGCATCAGGCGGCATTATCAGCTATGTATGTTGATGCTCCGGTAGATCTTACGAATTCGGTAGCGAATTTGGAAGACTCAATTTCACATTTGAGGAGCACGGAAATCATTTTACTATAGCCCTGTTCCGCACAAATTTGAAAACGTCAGAGATCGCCAGTAAAAGCAACTCTGAGAAAAATTAATGATGTCAATCATCCGAGAAATTCTTTTGGAGTAAAAAGCAAGTTTTTACTGTTAGAGTTATTCGATAGTAAACAAATCTTTGTGTTATGTAGCAAAGAAAGAAACTGAATTCGGTTCTTGGTAACACGGTGAATTCATGAATCTTAGCCATGTGTTTGAGAATTCAACGTAACGCGCGAGCTCCAAATTCTTAAGGATAGTGGATCTTCATTCCTCTTGTATTTGAATATTAGAAGAAAAAAATGTCGACACCCAATTCCAATGTCGTATCAACCCATTTTGTCCATACGCAGCGACCCCCCCTCCCCTCCCCCGCAACCCATAGTGAGGCACAAAGAGACATTCCTATTATGTTCCTCGCGACTCGATTATTACGTGAAAAACAAATTGTTTAACCATGTCTTTCAGCATCTGCTATTGCGCTATTCCGGCACGCATCTCTAATTTTTGGGTTCTGCTTATGTCTCTTCAGTGCATCCAACCTAAAGAGAAGCAAAATGATCGTGTCAATAAAAACGGCATTAGTACGAGAATTCGCGTCCGTTTTACATGCGCTTACCTCGAAAACAATTTCCGACATCCGACACATAGATAAGGCTTTGAATTCTGGTGTATTTTCTGATGCCTCTTGAGATCGTGATTACGAGAAAATGCTGTACTACACGTATCACACTTGAACGGTCTTTCATCGGTATGAGTTCGATGGTGGGACTTTAGATTGTACAAGCGAGCAAAACTCTTTCCACATCCGGGATACAGACACGAGTATCCGTTGTGCGGTACTTTTGGTTTATTCCCTCCAACAGCGTTATTAATGTTATCGATATCGTGAACCACATCCATACTGTCCTTGTTTATTATGGCCACTACAGTAGAATCGCTCTCACGTTCATTCATTTCAGACGGATTGTCTGTTGACATCTGCTTACGTCGTCTGTATAAACGAGCATCGTTCGATGGTATGTTTACAGACTCTACCATTTGTTCGTTAGACGCAGAATTCGGTGATATCAAATAGCCTGCTGAATCGTTAATATACTGCATCTCGGAATATCCTTCGTTCGCTTCATTGAATAAGATTGATGTGGCAGAACTTACTCCGTCAATAAACATATTTTCGGTAAACGACTCTCCGTTGATAGAATCATATCTCTCGGTAGTTCCATTATTTACAACATCATTGTCTTCTCTTGTCCTTTTACACGTCCTCACAAGCTGCTTACCAGGTAAATTTGTTGCCGCGTCATCTGGTGCAACAGACTGTCTATCCGTTTCCATTGTATATTGCCCGTCTGCGTCCATATTGCTCCAACCAAGAAGTATCGCGCTCGCATCCTGTAATAATGACATTGATTCCGTACTTGGTTGTGATCCTGCTGTCTCCATTTGGCAACCTTCGTTCGATCTACTGTTGCTAATATCATTCACAGGAGTTCCGTAATACCTAGTTACATTGTTCTCATTATCATCGCCCTTGCAATCAGTACCATTGGCTGTATCATACCTACTTATCATTGTCCCATTCTCATCTTTATTTCTCGTTGTAATTCCATCTACTACTCTATTCGTTAAACCATCGTCCGATTGATCATTTTCATTATCATAGGTAAAACCTGTCACATCGTTCCATATTTTGCTTTCATCATCTCCCGCTCTTTTGTCCTTCGATTCCATTCGCTCGATTGCGCAACACTCGTCCATCAACTCTCTTTTCGGCATCTCGGTCAATTGACTACTCGTGAAAGAACACGTAGAATGCATCCGGGACACAACATTCCCAGTCAATGTGGTAATATTGGTATCGATCTCGTCACTCGCATCCGAAACAGTCCTGCTCTCGTCTTCCTTTGAATCAGATGCTTTCTCTTCGGAAACACGTCTAAGACTAAGCAGCTGCAACACCTGGGCAGCAGCCGTCTGTTCTTCTAAGTCGTCCATCTGCTCACGTCTCTGCGTTTCATCATCCTTCTTTCCATCATTGTCGCTATTTGATAGCACTTTCAAATTCATCAATGAAGAAGAATTCTTATTGCTTGTTTTATTTATAGTTGGTAAATGGTTATCATCAGGCATTGATTCGTGTTGTACATGTACGTTTTCATCCACAGATGAATCAAGAACTGAGGCGTCTCGTCGTTTTTTAACGGATCTAGTGGCAGAACTCTGTCCTTGTTTACCCAATGGGATATCAACACCGCCACTGCCACTCGGCATGGTGGCGAAATCTTGAAAAAGGTTCGTTTCTATCCACGCACTTATAGTCTGACTCGGCGGCACCATGCCTCTCCCACCTTCAAGACTTGATGATAATGACGACAACTCGATATTTTCAAATACAAGTCGTAGATAAGGAAGTCTATCTCTACTTCCTTACAGAATTAATTATGAGAAATTGTTAACAAAAGTGAACGTGACAAATATTAAATTGTTCATACACAGATTGCAGACGTGCAAATCTGTGTATAATAAGCGTCTCGATAATACAAGCCAAAAATTGTATAGTCAAAATTCGCGACGAATCCGTCATGCAACAAGATCACTCCGAGGATGCAGCAAGAGACAGTATTGTATTTTTACAAATAGGCGTTTATATGTTTTATGGACGAAGGAGGCTTGGCTGTGGCTTTACATTTTCGTATAGTTAAAGGCACGTGATGCTATACAAAAAAAACCAACCAAAATAACGTCATACAAACAGTTATCACAACCAAGAGAAGCCATAATAATAAACGAATGAACTTTTACTAACTACCAAGTTTGAATATGTAAGACTTTATTTCTCAACCTAAATACACAAATACCAGATCGTAGTTTAAAATGCCTTGCCTTCACCATCTTTTCCGACGTATAAGTCTAATACTAATCTGCGTATCTACGGAGTATAAACACGTTATTAGCACATTTATGATTCCGTCAGCAACATTGACAAGTTCGAGTACGTAGGTTAATGCGCAAATTTACTAATCATATTTCTGTCTTTAATTTTAGAAAGTAAATCCTCGATCTCTCCAGATTGCTGGTCCGGGTGGCTGTGCGATGAATGTAGTCAAACTTTCCCACGTAATAGTAACGGTTAGAAACACAAATCACTGGTAGTATAATATATAAGAGTGCTTGCCGCAACCTTCTTGACGCTTTAATCAGGTGATCCGTAAAATATTATAAAGAAAAACCTTGGTTTATAAACATAGAGTTATTAATTAATTATCTCAAGTTCAAAGTTTAGTTAGTTTACTTTTTTTTCCCGTATGTGAATTTTCGCCAATGTTAATCAATGATTGCGCAGCGCAGGCTTATCAATTGAAATGTTCATTAATAAAATAAAATATAATTCCATCGTAAATAGCTCGTCTCAGAGAAGCGACTTGCTTTTTTATCTAGACGTAAAAATCCTATCTCTGACAACGTACTTGTCGCGAGCTTTTATATTAGAAATATTAACAAGTATACATTTATTGCTTTTAATAATGAACTGACTAGTAGGTACCCTTGTATGGATTAGAATGTTCTAATTCGTGTGATTCTAATGTATTGTTTATGTGATTGTATGAATAAATAACAATCACCGCCTTGTAACACCGCAGGAACGTTCTAGCCAAGAGGAACAAGGGTTAAGATTTATTGCTGAAAAATACAGCAGTCGTTTGAACAGTCAAGATTAGTGACTATTCTGTACAACGGCCTATGAGGTATAGGAAGCAACCCATGCGAAAACGCTCTACTGTTTATTTATTAATCCTTACATGTTACTTTGCAGAACTGAAAGCTCAATTCGCTTTATTATTAAGGCTGACTCGGTGAATCCTACAATCAGCTATGAGTCACCGCAGGGAGTATACTACCAATGCTTCCTCGATGACATCTACTTCAACGCCGAGCAACACTGTCAACCAATGCGCCTTTTCTAAATTATATTTCAATTAATGAAACAAAACCTTATGTTCAGCAGATGCACAAATAAAAGGATTGTTAACAGAAACATACAGAAGGCCTGGTGTGATTAATTTCTACGTCACAATCCAACTCCTCCCGTAATTCTATGTTTGATTGCGCGAGTTGCACTAGTGCTGAGTCTAGCCGATTATTGTTTTTCATGACTCCCTAAAGGGTTTGCAAAACACGCAGACAGGTATGAATTCTACTCACGCAGTGAGGATGTTTTTGCAAAAAGTTTCCATCCGTGCATTTGAATTTTGTAAACATGCCATACTCTGCAGATCGCAAATTAGTATATCATGGCTTGACGTCGCATTTCTTCGCGAGCAGTCAACAAACATTTGTACACGGATTCCAGATGGACGATAATAAATATTCGATAAATTTTCTTTGTATAATTGTACACGCTCGAATTTTTTTGCTGCAGCCATGGCATGTTTAACCTTACTAACTGCAAAATTCATGACGACATAAAGCAAAGCTATCATTGTAAATACGTTCAGATCGAGATTTCTGTATACGTTTTAGATAATCTTTGTATTTTACAAATTTTATTTTCAGTACAATGATTACTCCAATGTTTTTCTACTCCACTATGATTATAATTATTTCCTGTATTTTTAGTCATCTATACACTAATTGAAACGGATTGCAATTTCAATTGTGGGCGAGTAAGAAGTACCATCCGGAAATCGTATATCACTTGCCTAGCTTCAAGACAATTGATATTTTTTGCTCTAAGGTTATTTTTTTGAAATACATCCTAGTACTAGGAGTTTATTGGTGCGAACTTGTGGCAATTGCAATATTTCGGTCCATTCAATATCAGCGCATTTAGAACCGCGTAAATCCTTCATAGTAACTATTTATTATAAATAAACGGTTACGTGTGTTATGATTATGTTAATATCAATATGCAATTTGATAAATAATAGCGTTTTAATGTTTCAGGCGTACCAATCGTATACATTATAATATGGGATTCAATTTTTAATCGGATGGCTCATTATTGACTATTTTTTCCGTGTGTCTTGGCAAATCCCAAAATTAACGTTCATATGCTCCTTTCTAGGCTTACGATTTGGTGAATAAAAATAAAGCTTTATAATTAAATCTATGTCATCTAGTCATAAAAAAATTTGAATTCAATTTCAGCGTTTACGAATTTATTCATTATTCGAGATTAGAGTGATAATGAAATTCTCTTCTATGGCTAATAACGGCTGCATGCAAACCACACAAATTTATATTTATCATAAAAAATGATTGTAATAAATGATACTAAGTAGTAAATAGCATTAATAATTGACCAATGGAACATTCATTTTCTTGGAAAAACTAGAATAGCATTATACGTAATTCCCTGTCAACCACGCCACATCGATTCAGGTCGTGACTGCGTTGAAAGTCTTTTCGTGCTCTTTTTATCATATCTGGATTTGTTATGAAGTGATATAGAAACAAAAAATCTATTGGTAATGGTAATACTAATGTTACGACCCATTCTGGGAATTGACCCATTCTAACGATATTTGTTTGCTGTGCTAAATTTAGTAAGACGTATCAGAATATAAATTCCATAATAAAAGAAAATTTAGAGTTTTAGTTCATTTATGCGCCGCCTACAGATGGGGACAAAGTATTTGCACACTTTTATATTTAAAACTAACTTTTGTACTATCTACTGTATTGTTTGCCTGTATAAATTTTAATTTTAACAATCACGTTGCGTTGAGTACAAAGAAATTAACATAAAACTCTATTTTTTACCTTGGCTATATTAATATGCATTTTGACAAAACTTACTGATTATCAAAAAAGTGTATGATTGTAACAAAAAATCAGAGTATAATGACGCAGCAATCACATAATGATAGGATACCACATCGCACAAACGTTCAACAGCTTTTACAATCAATGAATCTGAGAATATTCGTAAAAACAACGGGTTCGACCTCGCATACTCAAAGGCTAAATTTATATGCCACATGATCGATTTGCGTGCAATGTAACACAATTAAGGATTGACATTAACTTGAGAGATAACATTTTCAATTATAATTCAACTATGTCGTCGATTGCTAATAATCCATCCGTTGCCAACGTGGTTGAATCCTCCTTGGAAAGCGAAAATGGAGACTTAAGACTGAAATGGATACCTTTCGAGGAAATCACCAACGTAAAGCCAACTCAAATTGACAATGTTTACTACGCTATCCGCAAGCACCTTTATGATGAGACGATAAGGCTGGTGTTACTTGGAAGTAACGAAGAATGTACAGCAACACTTGTGAGTGAGTTTGCTAGAATATACTCACTTCCAACACACAAGTACAATAACAATGACGATAACTTTAGACGATACTCCGTATGGCTTTCTCATCGCAACAAACTCATTATTGGATTCACCAAGTCTAATGACGATAACTATTACATGGTTGCTGATAAACTCTTTTACCATTGTTATTCTCTTTATGGCTTCTGCTCCACATGTGGAATACTCCGATGTAGTCCCGTGTGGTGCATTT